TAACAATAAATAACAGAAAATTTGATTTTTTATATGGGACACCCTGTATATTTTTAATTTATTGAAAAGAATTTAAAATTACCTTTCCAAAAATATAACACACTTGATATTTTGTTCGATTCTTCTTCGAGATATAGAGTATATAAAAATTCGCCCGCTTTAAATAAGTAAGCTTTGAACAGCACCGGTTGTAATGCAAAAAAATTCTAGCTGTGAGCATCAATTAAAACGAAAATAATATTTACTGTGAGAGATGCAGAATTTTATAACAATTTAAAATATATTTAACCAACATCAACACATTTAAACTATATCTAATAATATTAAAAATAAATAGCAAACCAAGACATGAAATTTTGCTACAGGTGTTCGACATATCGACCGTCTTCTGTTATGGACAGACAGTTTTTGAACTTTTCTCGCGAAATTCATTAACTCAGTAGGGGTGAACTCCTGAGGATACTCATAACTGCTAAGTATTTCTAATTCTTGTCTAGATTATGCGGAAGAATAAGGAACCTTTATTCTTCCGCAAATATATCCATAGGATTAGATCCATGACTAAGTCAGGCGGCCTCGACCAAGGGCGTAGATAAGGGGGGGGTACTGGGGGACAGTACCCCCCCCTGACGCTTGACGAGATACGAGAATTGAAATAGTCATTGACTATGAAAGGATTTTTTTTAATTAAAATCCGACATATAAGAACACTTTGTATGCTTTTAATTATGTTGATTTATCGTTTATAATATGTTCGACCTAATTAAAAGCACACAAAGTGTTCTGATTGGCCAGGACAGATTAGTGGGGTTAACTCTAATCAATATCCATAAAGATATTGAAATAAATGTTGATGCTGTTATTGATAGGTTTTCCAAGCAGCGTACTAGAAAACTTGATTTTGTTTTGTAGTTTTATTTATAGTTTATAGTTTTTATAGTTTTTTTTGATAGTTTAGAGTTTTTTTTATAGTTTATAGAAAATTAACTAATAAACGTCGTTGTTTTATTTTTGTTTATGTTATTTACAAATCTATATTTTAATTTTTGTGTTATGTTTTTATATCTTTTTGAAGACAAAAAAATTCGCCGTCGTTTTAATTCGACAAAAAAATTCCGACGGCGATTTTTTTTGCGACTTAATCATAGTACCACCCCCATAGCATACACCTATCTACGCCCCTGGCCTCGACGGCCAACGGCTGGGATCTTGGTTAGCTATTCAATTATTCTTGAAATTGGCTTCAAAAAAACGCTGATAACTTCAGCGTTCTGAGGCGGTGCGTCGTCTTGTGGAAAAATATGTTTTCGAGTTCCATTAAGGGCATATCATCAATAAGGGGTCCAAAGCCTACTAGTTAAAAGTGGCGAACTTTTCAAAATTCTGTATTTCGAAGGGGATTATAACAAAATATCAAGTGTGCCATATTTTTGGAAAGGTAATTTTAAATTCTTTCCAGTTAATTAAAAATATAGAGGGTGTCCCAAATAAAAAATCGATTTTTCTGTTGATAACTCCTAAATTACTAATTTTAAAAAAATTATACTTAAACCATTAAATTCTACGGAAAAAGGTGCTTTGGAAATGTTTTCATAGAAATACAAAATTTTCCATAACAAAAAAGTTACAGCGATTTGTTAAAAATGCACATTTTTGAAAAACACCGTAACTCCGAAACGATAACAGATATTGATGTGCGGTTTTCACCATCATGTTTTTGATGAAAATTGAGCTCCAGACACCGATGTTAGTTTTCGTCTGTCTCCTATAGAAAAGGGTGTTTCCATTTAAAAGCGTCGAATTTGACCCACCCTGTACAGGGTTGTTCACCACATACGACACGGAGTATTGTAGCTAAACGATGAGATTTTTACAAATTGTAAGTTTTGAGTTCGTTGAAGGACTATTAGAGCTACAATTTAAAAATAATTTTACAAGATACAGAGTGTCCCAAATAAGTAAAAAATATTATAGTTCTATTTTTTAAATGGAACACCCTGTATATTATTCTATTTTTAGATTCTACGATTGAAATAAAGGTAAATTTGATTAAGGTTTATCACACTTAAATCTTACTGTTTTTGAAATATTTTCAATTTTGTGAAATTGCAGTAAAAATTTTAAGGCTTTATTTCTCCAAGGGTATCAAAGTTTTTACTACTAAATATTTACCGAACATTATTTATTGATCAGATATTGTGTTGCAATAATAAAAATTATACTACCTTATACAAAGTGTCCAAAAATTTATATTAAATAATTACTAGCTTTAAACGGCAATAACTTGTTTAATTTAAATGGAACACCCTGTATATTTTACGTGAATCAGATGCACAATTTAATTGTCTCTCAAATTGTATTATACCGTTTTTACCTATCTCTTCAAGTTTTTGTAGAAAATACATTTTCTTATAATTATTAGATCTCATTTATCGCTATACCCATGGAACATTGTTTTAAAAATACATACCTGCTACCTTGTCTCTCTTTTGTATATATTTTTCTGTACACTCAAAAAATATAAAATCAAAATATATAAGTACACATAAAAACTAGCCAAATAAGTTAAATTTAACTACGATTTTTTTTAAAATCTAACTCATAGTAGTTGATTTTGCTCATTCATTTTTTGAGCGTTAACCATACAAGTGACTGTAAGTAAACAAAAATATACCGCAAAAAATATCCTCGAAAAAAATCCATAAGTGGTTGTAATCTTTCCTCCGTGCGATGGTTATCATTGATCTTGACACCACACATGACTATTATTGATAACGATTGTTCAAGATATCAACAACAACAAGATAAATCAAATAAATAGCGACCAGGGCAGGACCAGAGCCATCACTCAAGCGAGTTAATTCAAAATGAAAACATTGGCAGTTCTCGCCGTGTGTCTTGCAGTGGCCTATGCCCAAAAAGACCCACATTTTGCCGATGGAAGAAACACAATCGTCCATCTTTTTGAGTGGAAATGGTCAGACATTGCCTCAGAATGTGAGAACTTTCTCAGTGTGAAAGGATATGGTGGTGTACAGGTAAGACACAGTCCTTTTCCTTAACTGAGTTCAGTAAATTCATTTTTAAAATATTAAATAATTTGTTAAGGGATGTGTTTTGGTATCGATAATTTTTGTATCGATACTTTTATATCGATATATTTCTTTGACATACATTAGTGTCACAGAAAAAGTCTACGTCATATGGAATTATTATTATTTATTGCTATATACAGGGTGGTTCGAACTGTATTCCGGAAATTTCGGCCAGCATATTCTGTATTCAAAACTTATTAGTTATATAAACAACTGATTAAGTCCTAAAATGCTAAGTTTCGGAGATACAGGGTGAAGAAATTTCATTTTTATTTCGATTTTTTCCAAATAAGTTCTGAAGAAACGTCAATATTTGGATGAGTAAGGTATTGACAATTTCGATTCCAAATATCTCGAAAACCATTACTTGTAGCGATTTTTACAAAGAGACTTTATTTACGTAAAAAAAGTCGTAAATGTACTTTTTTTAATCAGTAGTTTTATACAGGTACAGACGAAAAGTGATTACTTTTCAAACCAGTTCAAAAATATGTAGGTGGCGCCCTTTACGAGTAGGAGTCATATTAACATCAAAGTCAAATTTCTCATGTCAAAAAACCCTCATATACAAATTTTCATCCAAATATTAACGTTACTTCATAAATTATTTGGAAAAAATCGAAATAAAAATGAAACTTCTACACCCTGTATCTCCGAAACTAAGCATTTTAGGACATACATTTATACGAACTTTTTTACTTATTTTTATCTGCGGAATATTCTGCCCAAGTTTCCGGAATACAGTTTGGACCACCCTGTAGATGAAATTTGATTTCGATGATATATTTTTTTAATAATTAAATTAAAAAAATTAAACCTAGGTTTCTCCTCCAAGTGAAAACGCCGTCGTGGAAGGCAGACCATGGTGGGAAAAATACCAACCCGTCAGCTACATCCTGAACAATCGTGCCGGTGACGAATCAGCATTCGCTGACATGGTCAGTCGTTGTAACAAAGTCGGAGTCAGGTAAAAAAAGCCTCTACAAACCCACAAAAAACGATACCATAACCTCAATTCCATTTTGAAATACTCCAGAGTCTACATTGATTTGGTCGTGAACCACATGGCCACCTCAACTGGACAAGGTTCAGCAGGTAGCTCTTGCGACCCAGGCAGCAAGTCGTACCCAGCCGTACCTTATAGCAACGAAAACTTCCACGCCACTTGTGACATCAACTACAGCGATGCTGCTTCTATCAGGAACTGCGAGCTTTCAGGCTTGAAGGACTTGGATCAAAGTCAAGACTACGTCAGGGGCAAGATCGAGGAGTACATGAACCACGTGATCAGTCTTGGTGTTGCCGGATTCCGTGTGGACGCAGCTAAGCACATGTGGCCCGATGACTTGTCTGCTATTTTTGGTAGTTTGAACGACCTTAACACTGACCATGGATTCGCCAGTGGATCTAGAGCATTCTTCTTCCAGGAAGTCATCGACACAGGTATAGTAAATACTTTTTTCTTTAAAAATAAATCAACACACTCTTAGCCCACGGCCACACAGAAAGCGTTTTTAGCGTTTTGCGTTTTTTGCGTCTCAAGCGCTTTTTTCGATTTGTGTCGACAGTTTCTATCAAGATGTCAATTAGTAACGTCGCAAGCTCGTGGATTCCCGGCCCGTACAACAATCAATCCTGTGAGAAAGAGATAGGCGAGATCGGCGCCGTTAGCGTTGAAATCAAAAATATTGATATTTGAATATAAATTTTATAAAAGTGAATCAAATTATTACGTGTAAAAAAACATTTGTTACACGTAAAAAAACTATTTTTACGCGTATAAAACTATTTGTTACTGGTAGAAAACTATTTTTTACGCATATAGATCTATTTGTTACGTGTAAAAATCTATTTGTTACACGTAAAATACTATTTTTTTACGCGTCAAAAACTTATTGTTTCTGTTAGAAAACCTTTCTTACGCAGAAAAAAAAAATATTTTTTACGTGTAAAAAACTATTTGTTACACGTAAGAAACTAAATTTTACGCGTCAAAAACTTATTGTTCTTGGTAAAAAAACTTTTTACCAAAAAAAATATTTTTTACGTGTAAAAAACTATTTGTTACACGTAAAAAATTAATTTTTTACGCGTCAAAAGCTTATTGTTTATGGTAAAAAACCTTTTGTTACGCAAAAAAATATGTTTTACGTGTAAAAAACTAATTGATACACGTAAAAAACTAATTTTTACGCGTCGAAAACTTATTGTTTCTAGTAAAAATCTTTTACCCAAAAAAAATATTTTTTACGTGTAAAAAACTATTGGTTACATGTAAAAAACTATTTTTACGCGTCAAAAACTATTTGTTTCAGTTAAAAAAAAAATAGTTATGCAGAAAAAAAACCTTTTCACGTATAAAAAACTATTTTTACGCGTAAGAAAATATTCCTTTAATTTATTACATTTTCAACATTTCAAACTATACTTTTTCAAACATTTCCTTCAAATTTTTGAATTTAATAGAATCTTCCTAAACAGTAGATGTTCTATGATAAAAATATTTTTAGATAACACCCTAAAATGAAAAAAAATGCATACTATTTAATTTACTTTTATTGTATTATTAAATATAACGTCCGCCTATGACGCGGTCTCATCTTAGAAAACGCTAAAGACGCTACAGAAAACAAACTGATTTGTTTTCATTGGCGTTTTTTGCGAGACACGCCGAACGCTACACGCTTTTGGTGTGGCCACTCCTATATAATCCTGTTATTTTGTTTGAGTCGCTAAAGACAAAGCAAGACCAAAAACGCAAAAAACGCTTTCTGTGTGGCCGTTGGATTAGGCAGATTTCTGAAATATAATATATATTTTCTTCGACCACACACCCGCTTTTTTACTTAGACTTGGAGACCGAATTCTTCACGTCTCTAGTTCTTCCTTTATTGAGGATCTGCAAAGCTTTCTAGCCAATATGCAAGTGCCTGTTTCATTACAGTACTTCTTCAAGTTTTGTCGGTTATATTATTGTTTTATCGAAAAAAAAACTGATTAATTTATTGATTTCATTATATTTTTTACAGGATCTGACCCTGTCTACAACACTGAATACACCGGCTTCGGTAAGGTTTGCGAATTCAAGTTCGGTAACTTCTTGGGACCAGTATTCAGAGGAGAGAACGGACTGAAATACCTGACCAACTGGGGTACTGCCTGGGGTCTTTTGGACGGTGGAGACACAGTTTCCTTCGTGGACAACCACGACAACGAGAGAGACAGCGATGTGTACTTGCACTACAAAAACGCCAAGCCCTACAAGGCTGCTATCGCTTTCATGTTGGCTCACAGCTATGATACTACTACCAGAGTGTTGTCCAGTTACTATTTCGATGGACACGACCAAGGTAACTATTGTTACTTTACCTTTATTTTAATATTAGCTTCATTGACTCTTTTCTGATCGTATCACGATTTCAGCTTATCATCGACTTTCATTCACCAGACGTTTTTTTTTTCGATCATACAGTACTCATTAGGGTTTCCGGAACCGTAGTGGTTTTTCCAAAAAATGGGTAAACATTTTAATATGGGGCATACCTGAGGTGCGACTCAAAAAATGCATAGTAATAATAATAATAATTAATTAATACTAATAATAATAATATTAATTACCTAATAATTTCGAGTCCCGCTTCTGAACTCTAGTACTTATATCCATAACCATCACCAAAACTTCTAATAACTGACATGTCAATTCTTGTTTTTCGTTTAGCTCCTCCAGCTGACGGAGACAACATTCTCTCCCCTGGCTTCAACGATGACGGTACCTGCACCAACGGCTGGGTATGCCAACACAGATGGTCTCCCATCTACAACATGGTCGAATTTAGAAATGTAGTGTCCGGCACCGAACTGACCAACTGGTGGGACAACGGCGACAACCAGATTGCCTTCAGCAGAGGCGACAAAGGATTCTTCGCTGCCACAACCAGCGGTGATATCAACAGCAGTATCCCAACCGGACTACCGGACGGTTCTTACTGTGACGTCATCTCTGGTAGTCTTTCCAGTGGTTCTTGTACCGGCAAAACTTTGACAGTTAGCGGCGGAAATGTCAACGTACAGCTGAGCAGTGGTGACGAAGAAGCGGCCGTTGCTATCCATGTCAACGCTAAATTGTAAACTGATGTTTGATCGAGATTTTTCTGTGTATTTTTGGCTGTGTAACTTTTTTATACGAATTAAATGATATAATATCTAAGCATATATTTAGTTTTATTTCTACGAAAACTTGAAGGGATAGGTACAAATGGTATAATACAATTTAAGAGACAATTAAATTGTGCATCTGATTCTTATAAAATATACAGGGTGTTCCTTTTAAATTAAACAAGTTATTGCCGTTTAAAGCTAGAAATTATTTAAAATAAATTTTTAAACACTCTGTATGAGGTAGTATTATTTTTGTTATTGCAGCACAATAAATTATCAATAAATAAACTTCAGTAAATATTTAGTATTAAAATCTTTCATACCCTTGGAGATTTTGCCCAATTTAGATTTTGCCCAATTGTAGCGGTATTTCTTCTGAATTTCTGTCAGTAGCGGTTTTCCTTTGGCCTAAATAAGAATTTGTATCAATAATCTTCAGGTAATTGATTATCCACACGAAATAAAGTTTACCTTGTAAAACCCCAGACCGCATTTATGGATATATTTTCGGCAACATTCTCTTGATATATTTAAACCAGTTACAGTATTTCATTTAACTGTTTCTTCGCGAAGAGTACTTCTTCTCGCACACTTGCAAATTTTTACTAAATTTCGTAAATCTCTTTGAGATACAAACTTTTGGTCTTCCCGAACTTTTACCTCTAACGTCTACATTGGCAGATTCGCCGTATTTTTTTATTATATTAAAGACCGTGGTTTTTGGAATACTTAAATCATCAGAAATTTTTCGAATTGTTTTTCCCGTACTGTATGGACGAATGATAATTTCGCGTAGTTTTTGATTTGTAGCTTTTCCACGGATCATTACTTTGAATTAAATAATTAACAAAATTGAAAATTAAAAAAATTAAAATTACTTACAGTTAATCTCACTACTCAAAGTATCGAGTCACTTACAAGTTGTCAATGCTGAAGTAAACAGTTTGCGACATTTGTGACGTTTATAGCACAGCCGCCTATGATGATATTAATTATTTAAAAATACTTGTCCCAACATATAGTTGTCAGCAAATTTGTCCTTTTATGAACAAAATCCGCTACTGTAAATATGGATTGATTTACAAATTCCAAAAAATATTGTCAAGTTCTTTAGGATATATGGCTATGTTTATATTTAAAAAATTAAACATATATTTTTCAGTCATTTTGAAAAACCAGGGCAATAATTCCAAAATATGATCTTGTCCCAACATATAGTTGTTAGGGCTCGTATATGTTTTGAAAAGTAACCATTTTATTTAATGTGGTTTTAGTCTCATTTGTATCTACAATAAATTAATAATGTAGTTTATAAAAGGAACTCGACAATTAATACAGATGGGGAAAACTGCGATTGTGATTTAAAAATAAAACGCGACGTCACGTTATAGTGAGAATCGCGCCTTAACTATTCAGTGGACCAAACCCTTGGACCAAACCTACCAATACATTAAATATTCAACCCTTCATTTGGCTGTCACAAAAAAGGCACATGGTTCGGACATCTAATTCCGCAACTCGCTTTGAACAGGCCAACGCAAATCGCCGCAGGCGACGACGTTTCGCGAAGCTATTTCTACCCTCCCGTCCTCAATTCCATCCCCTCCAATTTTCGTAACAGAAATTGCTTTTTGGCAAGCTCCGCAAGGGTGGTTTCTTCATTTCAAACCCTCGGGCAAAATTGGTTTTGTTATTCTAATAAGATTAGAATACCGGGATAAGGTTTTTTGAAAGAAGGAAAAAAAATATCTTTTTCGGGAAAAATAATATTGTAGCAAGAATATTTCAAGAAAAATAACAACAATATAATGAATTTTGTTAAAGAGAAGAAGAACAGTGAAAATAATTTTAAAAAAATGCTGTAATACACAAGTGTGAGTCGGACCCACCGAGGACTTGAAAGATTTTATGTAAAATTCTTACTTAAAAGATAATGTTTAGTGAAAGTACTTTTTTATTTATAAACATTTATTTAATTCTGTTTTTAGTATTTGTTCTTATAGTGGCAACATAGATACATTATCTGTAAAAATTTGAACTGTCTAGCTACACACACCGGAAAAATCTAAGGATATCATTTTATTAAAGTTAAAAATAAATGTTTTGAATAAACAACCACATATTTGTAGGCCGATTCTTTCTACTTCGATTGAAACGAAGTAGTCACACTAGTTATTTCTAAATTTGAGATATTTGCAGAAGTGTTTGTGCATTTTTTGTCAAATGTATAAAAAGCACCTAGCATCAATTGTTCGAATTTAACCTGTACTGGCTATGTTTTTATGATAACTGGCCAGAATTCATACAAATAACTCTGTTTAGTATTAAACGACATTATGGAGAGTAGACATCTTAACAGAGACGAAATGCTAAGGGCCATGGGTATGCTCGAAGCTGGAATCGCCAAATCGACGTAGCTAGAGCATTAAATACAACGCAAAGTGTAATATCGCGATTAAGTGCAAGCTACCGTGAAAGTGGTGATGTTGCTGAAAGGCACACAGGGCGACATCGCATTACTACCCCTGAGCAAGATCATTTTTTACAATTAAATGCTCGACGCCGACCGACTCTTACAGCACCAGAGCTTAGTTTAATTCTCCAGGAAACACATAATGTAACCGTTAGTCCTGACACTGTTCGCAATAGATTAAGATAGATCAACTTAAGAAGCAGACGCCCCTGGAGAGCTCGACCCTTAACGGGAGGAAATCGAGAGGTACGATATTTGTGGGCTCAAGATCATGTTCAGTGGTCGAATGAACAATGGGCCAATGTTCTCTTCACGTATGAGTCACGCTTTGGAATTCATCCGGATTCGAGAAGGCTTAGGGTATGGAGAGAACCGGGAAATCTTATTCGGTTGGATCATGTTCAGGAAGTGCACCCTTATCAAGGTGGAACAGTTATGGTCTGGGGAGGAGTCCAGTTAGGCCGAAAAACCGATCTCGTTTTTCTTGAAAGATTTCTAACAGGAATCACATATCGTGATTTAATTCTTGAGCCTGTCGTGTTACCATATGCCAATGATTTTGGGAGAAACTTCATTCTCATGCATGACAATGCACGGCCTCATACAGCCAGAGTGGTAAGTGAGTTTATCAATGCTCATCAATTAAGCATCTTACCCTGGCCGGCACAATCTCCTGACCTCAACCCCATCGAGCACGTATGGGACGCGGTCCAAAGAAAAATTTTGAGAATGGGTATGCCTCGTGAAACTCGTAAGGATCTGGTTCGGGCCGTGAATGCAGCGTGGCAAGCTGTACCTCAAGAAGAGATCGACAACCTGATCAGGAGCATGGAGAGACAATGTAGGGCTGTAATGAACAGTAGAGGAGGCCATACCCTTTATTAAGTAAAAATGGTTTTATCTTTTTTTTTTAATTCACAGTTTAGAATAAAAAAAAATGTGTGTATTTTTTTGAGTTCAATAAAAATGAAGGTAAATTTGAAAAATTCGGTAAATTTCGCATTTTTATTTCCAATACGTCCTGTAAACTATTTGTTTATTTTAATTTTATTATATCAGAAATGCAAATAATAAAATTACTGACGATGGCTTGATAAAATTGTAATATCCCTAGACTTTTCCGGTGTGTGTATAACGGTTCATAAGATAGAGCTTTCTGACAGACGGACGGACGGACAGGGAAGTTTTAGTAATAGGGTTCCCGCTTTTACCCTTTGGGTGCGGAACCCTAAAAATTACGAAAAAACATTAGTGTCTCCTTCAAAAGCGAATATTTCCAAAAAAATAAAATAAAGCTATTGAGATGAATTCCCTTTTAATTTTGTAAATCTAAATTCAGTAAATTCAAGTAAAACGGATCGTTTTTTTTAATCTACGCATAAGGGTAAGACTGACAGGTAAAGAGTTACGTGTAGGCGAAGCATTAATCTATGGTTCTAGTGGTCAATGTAAAAATAGGGTCAGTCAGAAATAAAATTACATAAATTAGTCACCTCCTACAGCTAGTAACTACTTAACGGCAAGAAAAACAAAGATTGCGCAATAAATTATGTATACTATGTATCGATTTTATGAAAAAAAAAATGCTGTCGTATTTAGATAGAAGACTGAGAATTGGAGGAGAGAGAGAGGTCAAAAGCTTTGGAAAATTTTCTAAAAAAATATGAATGTGATAAGATTTTTTATGTCCGGACACTTCGGTGTTGCGCAATACGGAATTCTTCGATAGGAGAAAGCACGAATGAATAAAATTGACAAAAATAATCGGCACAGAGTGACAATGAACATATAACCTTGGTGGATTTCTCGCCGGTGCTGCCACCATCGGAGAATATCGTAAACAATCGATATATACCTTTGAATAAGAAGACTAAGGAAGAAGCATAATGCTATCCATGTATTCATGCATGGTGGGCGGAAAAGCCACCATAAAAGCTCTCTAGGGTGGGGATCCTTGACAGTTCTGTTTGACGATTCATTTGACACATTTGAATTTGATTTGAAATTTTGTGGATTTGTCACTCTTTACGGAGCTTATTTTATGTTATTTATTATTTATTCTACTACTGATAGTTGCATAAAGGTAGTAAATCTAGATGGAAATTGTGGCAGAACTTAAATTAACAGTGACACTATCGCGATTTATCGAAAAAAGACTCTAAAATAGTTGGTTGTGTAGCGTGCGGTAGATCTCGGCAAAAATTGAGTGAAATAATGGAACAACTTTTCGCTAGTAAGTGACTATATAATATACATAATGTAGTAAACCGATCATTTATGAAATTCACTTAAATTAACTAAATTAAATATTTTTCTTGCATTTTAGCTTTTTATTTATTACTTGTCAAAGATTAGATGTCAAAGAATTTAGATACGTTAATTTGACTTACCTGCTTCAGTAGCGTATTCGGATGTTTGTGTTAATAAATACTTATTATAACTTATCTGGTTTTTATTAGAATTATATATTTTTTATAACAATTTTAATAACTACCAACATTTATTCACAACGTAAAATACCAACAAATTATTGACTCTACCCTACGTCTACCCTACATCATAGTTTTACATTTTTTAAATAAAATTAGAACGACACTGATAAACCGGAATTTAAGTCGGCCATATTTGAGGCCCATCGCGGTGTACCTAAGATTTTTGATATGCTCCTTCCTTAGTCTTCTTATTCAAAGGTTCTTTCAAAATCATCGAACAACTAAATCATTTCCATAGATCCAGTGACGTACCGTGACTTTGAACTTTGAGACCAAAAACTGACAAATAATTTGTCAAAAAATCATATTACAGCTATATGTTTTATTTTGCATAAAAATGTTAACTAATAATTTAGAATAATTATATTTCTTCCCTAACTAAGTGGTTTTATCGCTAAATTTATCTAAAGCTAAGTACAACACAAATCTTAAATACGTGGACTATTATAACAACAAATACATCGTAAAAGACTATTTTTGTAGCATTCTGAACGAGGATTCAAGTTAAACTTTTTAGAAAATAATTTAAAGGAAAAATGAACATGGCTCGCAGATGCTTGTTCCAAGTAAAATCCTAGAGCTCTAATATTTGCTTTTATAAACTCTGGCACATGATGCAGAATTCCATGAATCTTTGGAGTTATATTAATACCTTAAGTTGAGTATTTCCAATCTAAATTGTTCGATGTCACGTTCAAAATGTTTGTTTAGTGCTTGACAAAAACAACTCGAAACTACTTGATTGAATGCAGAAAACACTGCAATATATTTTATTCCTAAAAAAATATGTTTAGGTTTTTGCTTCTAAAAACTTTGAATAGGATTCTTTACCGGGCGATATCGTCTTCAAAATATCCACTTTCTTTAAAAGTTGTCTGGCGTTATTTCCGTTACATTTTCCATAATGATCTAGTTTCAATCCCGCTTTTTTTATCCATTCTGTTCCAATATTGGTATTCTCCAATTCAAGACAATCAAATAGTTTTTGAACCACACCTAACAAAAGGTGAAGCTCAGGAGGGGGAATATACTTTAAGACAGGTGTTTCTTCGTCGCCAATGATTAAAGGTATGTTTCTACAGTTTTCTAAAAAATAATTGCCCTTTTTTATATGGTCCAACAGTTTAAAAAATACAAAAAAAAATATTTCAAACAAAAACGCTTACTAAAATCTTTGGCTTTTGTTATATTTCCTCCAGATTGTTGCCATAAATTTGTATTTTCTGTAATACTTTTTATAGTTCTGAATGATCCTTTAATTTCCATTTCCTTTACATTTACATCACACCATGGGCAAGTGTGAGTGGATGAATTTGACTGAAGACCAAGGAGAATCATAATAAGCTTAAAGTCAGCGGCAAAAGTATAGGAACAAATTCCACATATGGACTGCAGATCTAACGTCTCAAAGAGGCTTTTAATGTTAGCATAAGATTCAGACAACTTTGGTTCTAAGCCAATTATGAATAGTTTATTAATTCCAGCACTTTTATATTTCTTGAAATATTCGGGATCATTTTCAGGGAGCACATTCAGACAAACTTTAAGTGATCCAACACCACTATCAATGCCAGTTTTTATATGAAAATCTTCAGGTAATTCTCTAATTTCCAAAATATATGATAGAAGACCAGATAAATCTGAGCAGTATACCAAAACTAATATTAACTGAATTAACATTTTTCCTTTAAATTATTTTCTAAAATGTTTAACTTGAATTCTAGTTCAGAATGCTACCAAAATAGTCTTTTACGACGTATTTGTTGTTATAATAGTCCACGTATTTAAGATTTGTGTTGTACTTAGCTTTAGTTAAATTTAGCGATAAAACCACTTAGTTAGGGAAGAATTATAATTATTCTAACTTATTAGTTAACATTTTTATGCAGAATAAAACATATAGCTGTAATATGATTTTTTTGACAAATTATTGTTTCAGTTTTTGGTCCCAAAATTCAAAGTCACGGTACGTCACTGGATCTATGGAAATGATTTAGTTGTTCGATGATTTTGAAAGAACGCATTATGGCCATTAAAAAATTACTAAATTTACAATTTATATATTTTTATTTTGAATCATATAAAAACCGAACAGTGGTGTTAACATTTTTTCGGCAATTTTATTAACATTAAATTATTGTCACAACACAACACGACGCCTAGTTTGAGTTATTTTTCACTTATTTTTTACTACCCGAAACAGCGTTAAATCAAAAAACCAAAATACTTAAATATTAAGACAAAACCACTATTTCAATATTATTTAAATGCGATCAACATGACGGCGGCGTATACTATATATGCTGGTAATTTCAGATTTTTTCCGCTGAAGCGCAGCGGTCGGAATTTGTTGAAATCAACTGAAATGGAACTGGTACATAATTATAATTAGTTTAGAAGATGTTCATAAAAAATTTAAGCACCAGGTGATTAAAACAAGTATACCATTAATATTTCAATGAACCTGAAATAAAGAAAAATGTATGTTATAAGTAAATTGGCAATTCTCTCTAATTTATTACTCTGAACAAACAATGTAATAAAAACAATACAATAGAATCTGTTTTATGCGTTAACTGACAAATGTATCGTACATTGATTTATGCATTAATATTTTAGCGAAGAAAGTCCATAATAATGTAAACATCTATCTGTTTGTTTACATTGTTTGCTGTCCTTTATGGTCACTTCCTAGAACTGATCTAAAATTAATATTATCTATTTGTATTGTTTATACTACATATTTTAATAATATCTATTAGTTATTTAAGGCTACCTATGCAGGGCGTGTTTTAAATAAGTGCTCATAATTTTAATAAATTAATAATAATATAATTTTTTATAATTTCGTTTGACAGTTATCTTTTACCTTGACTGGTGCTCGTAAGTAAATACAGGGCCATAAGAAAGGAGAAATATTTAAAAAGAAATCGGTAATAACTCGTAAACGAGCTAATCAAAAATATCTAAAGTTATTCTTTTGAATGTGGGTTTTAGTGCTCTTCAATAAACCTAAATAGAATTATCCTCTAAAATAATTAGGGAAGTCAATAATTGGCCCCATTAAAATTTACATGGGATTTCCTATGTCCCGCTCGACGATGCAACACCCGGTATAAGATCTAGGTAAATAACTAAAAAGCTAACATAAACTTAGTACGGTAAAACTTAGTACGGACTATTCGGCAAGTTCCCAATATTGCAGACCATTTTTTTTGCCATTAGCTGAAATACTGAATGGAATTATATCTACTTTAAATAGGTTATAAACTATACTCTGTTTTTTTTCTCAGGTAAGATTTCGACAGACGATGACAGAAGAAAAGCAGATGACGTCCCATACCAATCTATTTATTTTACTACAAAAAGTTTCTTAATTTTTAAGTTATCTATGGATGGGTTTAAATATAAATCCGTCCGTCGTGTCTTGTCGTGTCTTGTTTTTTAACCAGTTTTATTGGTTTATTTAAAAAATGACAGATCGTATTTCAATTTTCTTGGTTTGACGGAACGATGAACGACAAACGGACGCCGATGCGTATGAACTCGCCTTTAGATTCTTGTCATTTTTGACGCTTGTCAAAGTCTTGCCAAATTATAGGTTATAATTTTGTGTCAACTTTTGTTAAATACCCTGCGTTTTGGAACATTTTGATTCGTATTATTACGTGTGTTTTGTGTCTTTTGAAGTCAAGTGGAGGAAAAATCGAGTGAAAATTAACTGCAGACCCAGAGCACAGTTTATGGTTACTCGCTGCCCAGGCAGAAAGTCTTATACACCAATGAAGTTGCCATCGATAAAGTTTGTATACCATATGGTAGAAGGATCAAACTAAACACATACTAAAAACTGGAGTAGCTGTAAAATATCGACATCACACGATAGGCAAATAATGGATTTTAGTACTACAGAAAAATAATGTCAAAAGGTACTGGTTTAAAAAAATTAAGATTAAAGTTAATTAATCAACCTTTAAGGTATAAAATTTGGTAGGTGTTATTATTAATAAAATAGTTTCTTTTATTTACCTATGTTGTTTTATTTATTCCTGTGGAATATTACAAATTTGTATTTTACATAAGTTATATTGATAAATATAATCATAAATGCGGGTAGTTTCATAAAGCTTGAAAGTAAATAATAGTTCTTTTTTATATTTTTTGGTATGTAGTGTCTTGTTCTTGTTTGTTTTGTATTAACACATACCGTTTTTATTAAATAAAATAACTCGATTACATTTTTTCAGTTTTATACAGTTTTTTTCACAATATTTTGAAGTAATCACTTGTCATCTTGTCAATCAAATTTTAAATATATCCTGCTATGCGTTCCAGTTGTATCAACTTATTTCTTTGTAAAATAAAATAAACTACTTTGAAATTAAAATGACAGACACATATATCACTGCCAAGGATCTTCTCGTTGGACAGACTATAGTTTCAACTGGTAATTCAATTCACTGTACTTAACAATCTTTTCTAAATAAGTTCTCTGTACACTTTGGCACATTGCACTCCCTTGGGATTCCCAAGGGAGTTTACCAAGATGGTAAGAAATAAAACAGTTTTTTAATTCAAATAAATTATCTATTATTTAATTTGTATGAAAAAGATGTACACAGCCTATTTTATAATAATAATATTGTACTGTACTGGTATAAACCACAACATATTTCTCTATTCAACTCCTTTACAATTTTGCGTTGACATGGATAGCCACAGCGGCTTCGAGTTCAGCACCACCGAGCTCAACATACACTTGGCCACCGCTCACTGTCAACGTCTTGCCAGTACAAGCTCCATTGACCAAGCTACCGGACATGACGTCACAGTATGATCCGTCAGGCAGTCCCGTGCTGATGCTGGTGGCAATGTCCTCGTTGACAGTGGCCGCGTAGAAGCCTTTGTCTCCTCGGCTGAACGCGATTTGCTGACTGCCGTTGTCCCACCAGTTGGTCAGTTCGGTGCCGGACACCACGTTTCTGAACTCGACCATGTTGAAGACGGGCGACCACCTGTGCTGGCAGACCCAGCCGTTGGTGCAGGCGCCATCGGATCCGAATTCAGGGGAAAGGATATCGTCACCGTTGCTTGGTGGTCCTGTAACAATGTTATTTTGTTGAGAAAACATTACCAAATGATATACCGAGTGATTCTATGTCTTACCTTGGTCACTAGAGTCGAATTTGTAACTAGACAAGACCCTAGTTGTTGTATCGTAAGGATGAGCCAACATGAAGGCGATGGCAGCTTTGTACGGTTTGTCGTTGGTATAGTGCAAGAAGATTTGGCTGTCTCTTTCGTTGTCGTGGTTGTCTACAAAGGAAACAGTGTCACCCCCGTCCAAGAGACCCCATTCAGTTCCCCAGTTCTTCAAGTTGTGCAGAGCATTTTCACCTCTGAAAGATGGTCCAAGATCGTTTCCGAACAAGAACTCGCACACTTTTCCGAAACCAGTGTATTCGGTGTTTTTTACAGGGCCAGTCGCTAAAAAAACACACAAAATAACGTTAATTATATACGTGTTTTTATCAATATTAAAAATATCGGTTAAAGTCTTTATTTTCTTTCAAGTACTTTTAGCGAATCAAATAATTGTTATTTTTTATACAAGACGATAAAATGGTATTTTATCATAATCACAGACAGTTGCTATGGAAAAAAATAAATCAACTCACATGTATCAATGACTTCCTGGAAGATGAAAGCCCTAGCTCCACTAGCGAACCCGTGGTCGGTGTTCAGGTCATTCAAACTGCCAAAGATAGCTTGCAAATCGGCGGGCCACATGTGCTTGGCAGCGTCCACACGGAATCCAGCCACTCCAAGACTGATCAGGTGGTTCATGTACTCCTCGATCTTGCCCCTGACGTAGTCCTGGCTCTGGTCCAAGTCCTTCAAGCCAGTCAGTTCGCAGTTCCTGATAGAGGAGGCATCGGTGTAGTCGATGTCACAAGAGGTGTGGAAGTTTTCGCTGGTGTATGATACTGCTGGGTATGATTTAGAACCGGGATCGCAGGTGTTACCTGCTGAACCTTGTCCATTTGAGGTGGCCATATGATTTGCGACAAGGTCAACGTAGATTCTGGAACAGAATAATAAGATTACCTAGGCTGTAGATGAAAAAGTGTTAAGTATAGTACTATTTTCTAAAATAGTAAACTGAAGTTAAAACTGTAAAGCCATAAAAACCAAGCATTGTTTTACCTGATTCCAACTTTGTTGCAACGACTGACCATGTCAGTAAAGGCTGCTTCGTCCCCACCTCTGTTATTTAGTGTGTAGCTGACAGGTTGGTATTTTTCCCACCAGGGTCTGCCTTCTACGACCACGCTTTCAGCAGGAGGAGATACCTAGACAAAAAGAAGAATAATATGCATTTAAAAATGTTTTTACTGCAATATGGCCAGTATACAGGGTGTTTCAAAAAACATGTGCCAGAAAGAAAAGAAAAAGTATCATGTTATATTTTGGGTAACATTTCTGGCAATGATGGGTCTTCAACAAGTTCAAGCACTCAGGAAATAAATTTACTTTCTAAAAATTCAACTCACCTGTCATCGTCTACAGGGTTGTTCACCACATACGACACGGAATATTGTAGCTAAAAGATTAGATTTTTACAAATTGTAAGTTTTGGGTTCGTTGAAGGACTATTAGAGCTACAATTTAAAAATATTTTTACAAGATACAAAGTGTCCCAAATAAATAAAAAATATCAAAGTTGTATTTTTTTAAATGAAACACCCTGTATATTATTACATTTTTAGTTTCTACGATTAAAATAAACGTAAATTTGATTAAGGTTCATTACACTTAAACCTTACCGTTTTTGAAATATTTTCAATTTTGTGAAATTGCAGTAAAAATTTTAAGGCTTCATTTCTCCAAGGGTATCAAAGTTTTTAATACTAAATATTTACTGAAGTTTATTTACTGATCAGTTATTGTGTTGCAATAATAAAAATATTACTACCTTATACAGATGGTCTAAAATTTATTTTAAATAATTATTAGCTTCAAACGGCAATAACTTGTTTAATTTAAATGGAACACCCTGTATATTTTACGAGAATCAGATGCACAATTTAATAATCTATCAAATTATATTATACCATTTTTTACCTATCTCTTTAAGTTTCCGTAGAAAATGCATTTTCTTGTAATTTAGAACTTTTATCAATATACCCATGGACTATTGACATTTTAGATTATTTTTAAAGATGTTCCAAATTTTTAAAGAGTACAGATACTAATATTGTCGATATAATTCGTTTATTTCATTAAAAAATAAAAAAAAAACACTGTTTAAATATTTGTTAAAGAGGACCAATTAATATGATTCCAGTATTCAAACTACATTAACTGACTGTTTGCGTTGATTAATAATAATTGCTCCAAATACTAAAAACTGAATTTTGTATGGGCATTAGACAGTGTGATAAAAAGTAACACCTTAAAAATGATATTTCATTTTTTAATAAATGCTTATTTATAACAACAAAGACTTTAATTTGATAACTTATTATTATATTTATTTCTGACTCAAAAATCCACATTTATTTATAATAATTTATTAACGAACACAATTAAGTATGTCATTAATTAGTATATGGGCGGAAATAATGGTGTTATATTTAATTAATGGTATACTCTTTTATAAAGATTTAAATAGTTTTCTTTTTGCATACAAATGGGCTAGTAATATTATCGTTTTGCTAAAAACGATAATATTACTAGTCTGTACATTTGTTGCTTTAAAAACAATCTAAAATGTCAATATTCCATGGATATATTGATAAATGAGGTCTAAATTATAAGAAAATGCATTTTCTACGAAAACTTGAATAGATAGGTAAAAAATGGTATAATACAATTTGATAGACAATTTAATTGTGCATCTGATTCTCCTAAAATATACAGGGCATTCCATTTAAATTAAAGAAGTTATTGCCGTTTGAAGCTAATAATTATTTAAAATAAATTTTTAGACACTCTGTTTAAGGTAGTATTATTTTTATTATTGCAACACAATAACTAATCAATAAATAAACTTCATTAAATATTTAGTATTAAAAACATTGATACCCTTGGAGAAATGAAGCTTTATAATTTTTACTGCAATTTCACAAAATTGAAAATATTTCAAAAACGGTAAGGTTTAAGTATAATAAACCTTAATCAAATTTACCTTTATTTTAATCGTAGAAACTAAAAATGTAATAATATACAGGGTGTTCCATTTAAAAAAATACAACTTTGATATTTTTTATTTATTTGGGACACTCTGTATCTTGTAAAAATATTTTTAAATTGTAGCTCTAATAGTCCTTCAACGAACCCTAAACTTACAATTTGTAAAAATCTCATCGTTCAGCTACAATACTCCGTGTCGTATGTGGTGAACAACCCTGTATAGATTTTTTGTAATTATCTTAAATACCTATATTTTTTTATTTGAAATTGCTGGTGGGTTGGACTAATAGTATTAATAACTAATAGTAATAATATTTAATAATAAATTAGGTAAAATATATATTTATTAATTTTAATTTTATTTTTATTTTAATTTTATTAATTGTGGTTAATACAATTGCGTTTATCTCATCAAGGAGGCTAAATTCGACAAAATATCAAGAGATAACTTTTAACTGGCATTAAACGGCCGAAAAGAAAATTCTGATATCAAAAATTAATTTAAAAAAATAGTATAGTTACCTGAACACCAGCAAAGTTTTTGACGCTCAAGAAATTTTCACATTCTGAAGCTATATCTGACCATTTCCATTCGAACAGATGGACTATGGTATTTCTGCCATCCCAAAAATGTGGGTCTTTTTGGGCAGAAGCCAAACTAAACCAAACAGTAACTAAAAGGGCTAGTACCTTCATGTTTATGGATGTATAAGTACCGTAATATTGATGCTGCTTTACCGAAATTTCAGTCCTTATATACTGGTCGTTATCTGGATTTTTTTTGTATTTTTTTTGCTGAGATATGTAATTTCACAAATCTTCACAATTTAAAAATGGTTTGATTTGGAGTGTTTTTTTTTCGAGTAGAAATTAAATAATTTGAGTGTTTTATTTGATTATGTTTGATTATTTGGTGATATGTTTCCTGCCTGAGAGGGTTTGTTTTTGTTTTCTTTTTGATAAGCGCATTTTTTCTCGAAATTTTAGTAAACTTTTCAGATTAATTGAGTCATTTTTTTTAATCACTAAAACATTATTAAAATTCCCTCCATTAAAATTAAAAAATCCAAGGAACAAGAATTATTATTTTATATTTTTTGGTAAATTTCCAAAAAAAAATGATAAAAATTTGTTAAAGCTTCATTCGGAACTTGTTACAATAAATCAGCTGTTTCAATTATACTTCTTATACTTAAGGATTTGCGATACAGACTAATATCATGTACTAGAGATAGATGGGACACTGATATACAGGGTGACAATTTGAAAACGAACAGTATTTAATATTACCTCTACCGATGATAGTATGAAAATTTGGCGGAATACGTCAAGGGGGAAATTTTTGAGGCATTTGTAGTCGTGTTACTTTCAACCCTTTGACCCCCAGGGCATCTACCCCTAAAATTTTAAATGGCAACCCCTATTTCTCTTACCATTTTTGTGTTCCTTATAAAATTCTCAAGAAAATAATGCAGTTTATGTAGAATTCTATAAGAAACACAAAAATGGTAAAAGAAATAGGGGTTGCTATTTAAAATTTTAGGGGTCCCTGGGGGTCAAAGGGTTGAAACTAACACGACTACAAATGCCTCAAAAATTGTCCCCCTTGATATGTAAATTGACGTGTTTCACCAAATTTTCATACTATCATCGGTAGAGGTAATATTAAATACAGTTCGTCTTCAAATTGTCACCCGGTATAACAAATAAGTCTGTCATTTAGAGCCAAGTAAAAATAAAATCCAAAAAAAAAACTAATGGAGAGTTTTGGCATAACATAATTTTAGCGTCCCGGTACTTATTAACGCTAACTAAATCGGTAACGTTATTCTTTTGAATACATACAGGGTTTCTCACCGTAGCCGTTCGTTAGAAGTTTTTGAGGTTAGGAAAAACTTAGAAGTTTGAAATTTTGAGACCTAGGGTTATTTAACCTTTCCTTTCATTTAAAAATATTTTCAAGGTCACACCACTTCCGGTTACACCGGAAGTCGCCATTAACTTCCTTATTTTAAATAGAACACCCTGTATATTATTTTATTTTTGGATTTCTAAGAAAATTTTATGATGAGTTTCATTAGGTTTCCCTATACCTATTTTCAACTGTTTATCAGATATCTTGATTTATTTGAAAATTTTTACATTTTTACCCCAATTTTTAACAGTTGGATCTTTTACTCATTTTGAATTGGTGATAAACGCTTCTGCGGTAAACGGGAGCAGAGGACTAATGCTTTCGAAGTCCATATTGACAACTAATTTATCTCATACAGGGTGTCCAAAATTCGATAACTGATTAGATTATTTTCAAACTCAAAAAAGACCATTTTTTCAAATGAGACACCCTATACATTTTTCGATAGTTGGATGCAAAATTCAATTCTGCATCGATTTGCTATAACTTTCCCTATACCCATTTTCAACGGTTTTCTTTTTAATCCGTATATTTTACTTTAATTCAATTTTTGGCAGAATCGACAATATCGTTTGTGTTTTTTAAAATAAAATAATTATGTTAAAGTAATGAAATTGAATGTAATTAGAACATACGAACAAAACAGGAACAAAACGAAAGTGAAAACGTATAAAATATAACATAACATAACAAAACAAACGTATAACGGTGAGGCATTAATTATTAACACTAGACGTTAGTGTATCGCTACCATAATAAAAAAAAGTAAACACAATAATTACAAAAATTATTCTTCGAAGTGACCGCTATGAACGATCATTTTTAAATGAAAGGAAATTTTAAATAACCCTAAGTCAAAGAGTAGATAAGACAAGAGACGACAGTGAACAAAGAAGTCGAATTTCGCGAGAGAGACGCAGATATATTAAAATTTAAAGGTCCCATCAAGTCCCATTTTGTCTGTTGCCAAGTATATTTCTTTGAAAAATAAACAAGATTTTCTGAAAATAAATTAATAATATAAGAAGGAATAAGTAACGTATGTTAATACGGAAATATACATTTTTAGTTTAGGTTGGTTTAGATTCTTTTTTCGCAATGTACTGATAATATCAAAGAAACAGAATGACTACGTTGATCGATTTCAAAGATAAACAGATAAAATCTGAAAATCTGACAACGGCGAATTTTATTTATTTTAACCTATGATTTTAGGACGCTAATCAGCTGTGCTAATCAGGCTTAAACATAAACAAATCTTATTAGTTGTTTTCTTGCATTTTTGCCTTTTTAAAGTGTGTTTTCAGAGTTTTTCGATATATTATCGTTTTGAGAGTTTTCAAGGTTTAATTTTAGTATTGTTTTTGTTGCGTACTAATTTGTAATTATTGTTAAATATGAATACTGGACAGGACACGAGTAGCAGGAAAAGACAAGATGGTGGCAATGTGTGTGCTTATAAAGACTGAAAAAATAGATCTTATTCTTCGACAAACATAATATTTCACTCTTTTCCAAAGGATCCTGAAAAGTATTTTTATAGAAATATACTATATAATTATGTTATTAAACTAAATGCAGTCCAAAGATCGAAGACATGGTTAGAAGCTTGTAATATAATTTTACAAAAAAAATTGAGCAACTCTATTTTTTTGTACATAAACTCCACATTGTGATATTACACTTGTTCAAGTCCATATGTAAAAAAATACACGTAAATAATTAAATAAAACATTTCTTACAAATCGACTTGGTCACTTTATCTTGTTTACCAACGATATACAAAATATTGCTTTTATTATCTTTATTCCCCGACAAATATGTTTCTAATTATAATTTATTTTATATAATATTTAGAAAACTCATTTTTTTTCGTTTCTATTTATTTCTTTACCCATACAGTATAACTATTTATAAGCTATACAGGCAAGTTTTAATAATAGTCTATTTTAAATTTCCCGCGAAAAAATTACGAAAATTTAAAGGGACAAGCGAGACGAGGTCACTCTCCCCACCACTCAAACATGAAAGGTACCGCGCGAACTGTCGTCTCTTGTCTTATCTACTCTTTGGCTAAGTCTCAAAATTTCAAACTTCTAAGTTTTTCCTAACCTCAAAAACTTCTAACGAACGGCTACGGTGAGAAACCCTGTATAAGTATTTTAAACACCAACAATAATAGAGCACATAGCGCCTATTTTTTTGATTTAACAAATAAATTATAATATATTAATGAGGACGTAGTTACATGGTTGTTGGGTGCAATAACATTGAATAACTCAACTTTTTGGGATATTCAACTCTCCCGAAACAACATTTTTTTATAGCTTCATAGTTTCTCACACCGATTTGATCAAAAGCAAAAATGGATTCAAGCAGTTCGACGAAATAAGTGAGTAAACAAAGTTCTCGTTACATAATCAAAAAATTAAATAGACATAATATACTATGAGACGATAAAATATAATTTGCAATATTAATGGTACCTACACTTTTTTTAACCGACTATAGTGGTTAAATGTTTTATGAACATCTTCTAAAATTATAATTATGTACCAACTCATTCTTCAAATTCCTCAGTGCGATTACGCAAGCATCCTCATATCTCTATGTGCAAAACATAAAAGTGTTTCTTGTTCAAGCTTCAATGCCCTCTCTTCAAAAACATTATAACAGTATAACAATATCTTATCTGAGTTCTTTTGCAATAAAACATAAAATTAATTATAATAAACATATCGTTTTGTTGAGTAATTAATATCACAACAGTAAAATTAATATGTGATTTATTTATCAATACATATAACAGAGGAATAATAGAGGTCTCAAGATTTGTACGGGCTGTCAAAAATTCGCGCCTCATCATTGGGACCTATAGAAAACTAGAAGATATAGTAGGTCTATTAAATTGTGTCAGAGTTGTAGAGTTAATAACCGCGATTTTAGAGAACTATTGTGTCCCCCCTTTCTTTAGATTTTTTGTTCAGATTAAACAAACTTTTAATATGCTCGCATTCATTGACACACTGTATATTTTTCTTTATATTTTATAATATAATACTATCGAAAAAAAAACGGCGTTAGAGATGGCTTGGAAATGAAGACTACTAGACGCCGTTTTTTTTTTGATCGTACGATATACACCCGGATTTTAATGGAAAGAAACTATAAAAGCCTATAAATTAAATTGTATATAATAAATCTTTTAAATTTAATAGTAGTATCAATTAATTATATTTAACATATTTTTTTGTCACCGCTAGTCGTACCTATATGATCTCATGAAACACACAGTGTAATTTATTTTTTTTTTGTTAAAAATTACGTAAGGTCTTATTTCTTTTCTTTATAGGTTGTGATAAATCGGTCAAATATAGCGAGTGACGTTAAAAATAGCAATGTATGGGAAATCCTGACTTTGAATTAATTTTTTCTTTGATTTTATTGATTGTCATGCTGTGCGTGACAAGTCGCAATAAAAGAGTATATCTATTTTATTTTATTTTTCAATTAAATTAACCAAAAATGATACTTTATTAAAAGTTTTGACAGGTACTCTACTATAACCAGAGAGAACACTAATAACTAAAGTGAGAGAGACCGATCAACGTTAATTTTTGAAGACTGTGTGAGTGGCGCGGCCTTTGGCGTCTAACCCGAACTATGAGCGCATTATCAATATAGTAGGTTGCATTCATACCTATATACTGGCGCCAAAAATTTAAAATTTGTATATTTGAACCGAACCAAATCTTTCAAGTTTATAATAAGAAATCTTCCTAGTTTTTTTAGATTATTTTGTTGACAACGAAAATTTATTATTAGACTTTAAA